TATGGTCAGGACAGACTAAAAAAGAAAGAAATACAGCCTCCAAGGTGATTTAGCACTCTCCTGACATGCCTCCACATAGATTATACTTCCAAGTGAAAGGGCCATTTGGCCTTGAGAGATTAAGAAAGCAGCCCAACCTTGAGGGACTGTGAAAACACCCTGTTACCATCCTCCATTGCCTGTAACCATAGAAACTCACTCTTATTTGTAAAGAGTGAAAGGGGAGACTGATCACCTCCCATTAGCCAGGGATACCCAAAAAGGGGAGGGTGTCCAACCTGTTTGAATCTGAAGAGTGCCTGACTGTGTGAATGTGTCTGTATGGCTCCACCGCTTCCACTACAGAGTCTGAGTGGGCTGCACCCTGAGTCTCGCCGAGCGTCATCTACTCCACAGAGTAGCCTGGTCGGGGGTTTATATGGACAGACCTTAGCTAAGACGCTCCTAAGTTCCCGCGAGGGACGGGAGCAGGACAGCATCTGAAAGATCCCCCTCCCTTTGTTTGCAATGTCATTCACAATGGGAGGGAAACCCAGAAAACTCATATCTTAAGACTGCACACTTAAAAATAAAAAAGGGAAAGACACTGGTATAGAAAAGCTGGTTTTCTCTCTGTTTAAAAGGGCAAAGTTTTCTTAGGTTAATTGATCTGTTAAAAAGTGTAAATGGTTTTCTCTTTGCCTGCCCAGAAAATTCAGTTCCTGTTTTGTTTTATCAGGTGTTTAACATCCCTAATTATATTTAAGCATATGTTTTAAAACTTTCTAAGGTTTTAGCAATTGTTGACAAGATTTAAACCAATGATAAACCTTGGGTTACATTTGGGTAAATGCTGTAACTATTCTAGAGATTCTATGCATTTCCTAAAGTTTTAATGTTTTGATAAGGTCATCACCTGGTAATTTAACCATATCTATTCTGAGTTTTTGTCATTTGTAATTGTTTTAATTCCCTTGTAAGATAAATTCTGCCTTAAAGGAACTTCATATGGGAGACTTTCAGGACAAATACAGGTCTCTGATATATTAAAATCCTGGAACGGAAACAGGTAAGGATTTCCAGAAATAAAAGCTGCATTCGAACTAAACCAGAATTAGCAACATGGAAAGTAATATGGGACTAAATGAACTAAAAGATTATAGTATCGTGTCTCTTAATGTTTTGTCTTATTTTAAACATTGCTGGTTCTCTAATGTTTGCTCTTCCAGACGAGGGATACTTTTTCTTAAGTTATCTGTAACTTACAGAGAGGTAAAAGTATTGATTTGTAAACAAATCAAGGCACTCAACTTTTCTCTCTATCTGAACCCTCTGAAAATCAGAAGGTCTCAGTAAGTATTCTTTCTTCCATGGCAATCAGTCATTTGCATAAGTTCAATAAGAATCTGTTTTCCTTGTAAGGACACTATTGGAAACTGGTTATTTTACCAAGGCTTTGACTGGGATATCATATTTGAAAAGACTCAGATATGACCAAACAGTTTAAAGGAACTAAGGTTGACTTTATGAAACCTGGAGCCGTAAAGCCCTTTGGAACTGTTGGCCTGATTACCTTGCTTACAGAGTTCCCAGCAGCCTCACCAGGTGAGTAAAGAATGTCACTCCTTGGTAGGTACAGAGCCTCAGGAAGAGGAATTCGCCCAAGTTGACAGGTTTTACAGGCATGTCTGATGGCAAGTATGTGGCTTGGCTTCTGGCCTGGAGAGGTTACTAAAAGTTCAACCTAGAGATTCCTTATAAGAAGTTCCAGCAAAGCAGATTCTAAAAGGTCTATCTGATCACACTCACTGTTCTTGCTGAGCTTATGTAAATAATTAGACCAAGTCTGTTAAAACTGGACTTGTTTTTCAAGTAAATTAGTCCTAATTTGGCTATCTCTGGAAATGAGGGTTATTTTAGAGAGAAAAATTGTGTTTTAATAACACGCCTTTATGGATATTATATTCTAGATTTGGTTGTCTTTAAATATTTGTTTACCTAAGCTAGAAAACTTGAGGCCAACTTCAGAGGAAGATTTAAAATATTTATAAAAATGGGTTAAACTAGACTATGAAGGGGACTGGGCTAAGACTAGGAAGAAATTAGCCAAATACATCAGGGCACTCATTTGGGGAAACGCAAGCTTAAGGAGCTTATGGGCAAGCAGTTTCAGGTTTCTAAATCATGGCGTATGATTCAGGATATGGTTGATAGATGTGCTCAATGTCAGGTGGTAAATGCAAAAAGAACTAAAATAAAAAGAGGGAAAAGAGATAGAGGTTTGGGTTACCCCTTGCGATCAGGTCAGACAATGACCCTGCATCTGTGAGTTCAGTCCCACAGGTATTGGCCAAACCTATAGGCACTAATTGGAAACTACATTGTGCCTACTGGCCCCAGAGTTATGGGCAAGTAGAGAGAATAAACTGGACTCTTAAAGAGACCTTGACAAAGCTAATTCTGGAGACTGGTGGTGGATGGGTGGCTCTCCTTCCTTTTGCCCTCCTCACGGCATGATGTACACCCTATTTAAACAAGGTGACCCCATTTGAAATAAAGTTTGGGAAACACCCCCACCCGCTCTGCCCTCGGCTACAAGAGGTTGCCCTAGCAAAAGTGACTGGTCAGTCTGTACTTCAATCACTGCAGGCATTACAGCCTGTCTAGCCCACACAGGGATCCGAACTGCCCACACTGAGACAGAGACAGAACTGGAACCACATCCTTACCAACCCGGGGACTTGGTTTGAATATGTCACCACCAAGTGGGAAACTTGGAGCCTCGCTGGAAGGGACCTTTACTGTCATCCTGACCATCCCCACGGCAATGAAAGTAGAAGGCATCTGGGCCTGGATTCATGCGGATCACATCAAACGAGCCAAGGACGAGGATGCCCCCCAGAGATGGAAGCTGCTGCCAATGGACCCTGCAGATCGTGGACTAAAGCTAAGACTCAAAAGACTATGAGTTCATTGTTGCTCCTATTGTTACCTGTTTTTGTAAGAGCTTCTAAGTCACCTCATAAGACAGAAAAGTATAGGTGGGAAATTAAACAAACGGAATTAGGAGAAGTGGAAAAGGTTATACAAAGCGGTGAATGGCTAACTCACCAGTCGACTGTGCAATTTAATGTAACCTTATGCCAATTGGCACCCATTAACCCCTGTTTAGATGACTTATAACCCCTTACAACAGAAAAACATAGAACTGGCTAAAAAGTCAAGGATTTGACTAAACTCCAAAGAAAAGGGGGGAATGTAAGGGCCTACTTAGCCAGAGTGAGCCATTTTGTTGTTTATGCAGTAAACTTAGATTGAACCTGCCCCTTCCCCCAAGAGGAAAGCGCTTAGAAACAGAATTGGTGAAATACGGCCAAATAGCCCCCGATAACGGAGCCCGGATTCAAGGACGTGTCCGGCCAGAAGGAAACGTCCAATCAAGGGAAAGTGCACGTATTACCTCCCTACCCGCCAAGGACGTGTCAGGCCAGATGGAGACGTCCAATCAAGTAAAAGCGCATGTATTACCCGCCAGGGAGTGTGAGCCCCCGCCTTTTGGGCACCAGACAAAGGCGCCAATTCTAGCCAAGGTCATAGGCTGAATTAGATGACTATCATGGGGTAGAATGTAATTCAATTGGCCACCTGTGTGTGGCCAGGCTCAACCACATGGCCTTTACTCTATAAAAGTTAGTCTTTGAGGCTGGGAGGGGTTGCCTCTTTGCAAGAGATGGCCCTGGCCGGTCAGTTTGATTCTCGACGCTTGGTGTGAAATAAAGCTTTGCTTGACCTTCGCTTTGTATCAGTCTCGTCCTTTTGTCTATGGACCCTTTCAATTAGGTCATTCTTTGGGGAGAGGAAAGCAACTGTCTTTATCTCACACATCCTTGCAAAGCTCTTGAGGGAGTTCAAAGTTCACCTGTTCCTTTTTACCTATCCCCAAACCTCCCCGATTTCTCTTAAAAGGTTTGTAACTTGTGTTCTCTCCCATGCCTTTGGGAGGCAAAGGTTGAAGCACAAATTTCGGGAAGGTCATGCTTACCACAAGAAAAATAAATGGGGGAAAACTCATTTGAAACAGCTTTAGCCATCCGAGCAGGTGGCTTTAACTTACTCCATCTGCCAGAAAAATGGAGATCCAATTCTTTTCGAACTAAAACGGAAGCTATAAACTCTCTTTATTCCATCTGCATGTTTATGTGTGTCTCTGTATGTGAGTTGTGGACGTGTAGTATTTTCTAGCTCCAGACGGTATTACTAAAGTTAGTTAAATGTCAGACTTATATCTTCTTCTTCACTCTATCAAGTTCATAAAAATTCTCAAAAATATAATAGAGACTAACCCAAGGGAATTTCAGGTTCATGTGATCTGGGAAAAAGATGTGGCATTAAAGCCAGTTTAAGTTTGTTGGTTTATTCACTCAACATCCACCATAAAACTCGTATTCCACCTGAGTTCACTAACCAAGTAAGTTAACGCTATTGCTTACAAGATATGTTAGCCAGAAAAATAGCTTGGGGGTAATGGCTAACCTTGTCTAATGTTTAATGAGGTTTATGTAGGTGCTCCAAACACAATTGTTGAAAACAAGCGATCTAAATAGATGTAAGCGGGGTGCCTGGGTGGTTCAGTGGGTTAAGTCTCTGTCTTCAGCTCAGGTCATGATCCCAGAGTCCTGGGATCGAGTCCCGCATCGGGACTCTGCTCGTCAGGGAGCCTGCTTCCTTCTCCTTTCTCTGCCTACTTGTGATCTCTGTCAAATAAATAAGTAAAATCTTTTAAATAAATAAACAAATAAATAAATAAATAAATAGATAGATGTAAGCAGCCTGACAGGTTTTAGGAGAACTTTTTAGTTTCTCTGAAAATTTCGGTCGTCTAAAACCTTGAAGTTTTGCTAAGTTATATTAAGTGATGAAATCATTAAATATCTAGATTACTTCCAAATAAGATACTCTGTATTTGTTAGATTGGAGGCTGCCTGAATCATGAATTAGTAAGACCAATTAGACCTTCAAACTTACTTGGTTGCATTTTTATTGTTTAACAGATGTGGTGGCAGTGGTTGGACTGAAGGAGGCTTCCGATGGCTTCAGAGATAACCAGAAACAGGTGCGGTATCCCATAAACCTTTTGAGTTTGCAGTCTTTCTTGTGATTTCCAAGGGCCATAGGTAGATCCCCTTTCTGTCCTGAGCTCCATTTTCTTTGCATTGAGTTCCTGATTTAATTGGCTTTCTAGTCCAGGATTTAGCAAGTCAGTTTGAGCAGGTCAGTTTGACCATTAGTTCTGGTGATTCTTACCCGGTTCAGTTTTATGATCTTAAAATTACCAGCAAAGTCCATTCTATGAATCTCTCTGAAGATGAAACACTTTTGCGAAAGCATCAGAGTAAAATAATAATCCTGTAAATGACAAAGATGGGAAAATGCCATGGTTAGAGATCTGATTAGAGGTCATTACCATGCAGTTGACAAGGAAATGTGGTTATTTTGTGACATACAACATTTTAAGATAATAACTAGGATTATGATGGGAACAATATTTAGTTATCCACTTAACCTCAGTGACAAAGATTTCCTAGGTAAATTTTTTTAAAAGATTTTATTTATTTGTCAGAGAGAGAGAGCACAAGCAGGCAGAGTGGCAGGCAGAGGTAGAGAGAGAAGCAGACTCCCCGCTGAGCAAGGATACTGACACGGGACTCGATCCCAGGATCCTGGGATCACGACCTGAGCCGAAGGCAGAGGCTTAACCAACAGAGCCACCCAGGTGTCCCAAGTTATATGAGTTATTTATCTGTTTGGGATATTAATCCCTTATCAGATACATGATAAATATTTTCTCCCATTCAGTAAGTTGCCTTTTCATATGTTGATGGTTTCCTTTGCTGTGTAGCAGCATTTATTATTTTTTTAAATTAGGAAATACTTGATATAAGGGTTGGGAGTTATAACTCAGTTTCCTTCTTTGTGGCGTTAATAAGAAAACAGCAGGGCCAGGATGGAGTCACTTGTGCTAAACCCCATGTCAGCAAACCAAGACTTCATATCCAGTCTGAATAGTTTCAGCTCTCTAGGAATGTAACCTTTAACCAGTTAACCTGACATTACCTAGTCAGCACCAGTTAGGAGGTCCACCTGGTCTGGAACAATGCATTCATCCTCTGTTAACAATTTCCTTTTCTCTACCCCTCTCTGCCTTTACAAACCTTCCCCTTTCTGCAGCATTTTGTGAAAAGTGGACAAGACAAAAAAGTCTGGGTTTGGGTACTAAGTGAGTCAAGAATAAGGTTTGTTAATACAGCCTCTTCAACCCTGAATTCTCTCTTGTGCTGCTTTAGAAGTCAATCCCTTCCCATTTTCCCCAGCATTAGGGAACCACTGATTTGACTTCTGTCCCTTCTGGCTTTGTCTCTTTTTTGTGTCTTATATATAAAGGAGCACACACTATGTAACCTTTTGTGTTCTGCTTCTCTGACTTAGCATAATGCTTTTATTTATTTTTTAATAATTTTTTATATTTTTTATTAACTTATAATGTATTATTAGCCACAGGGGTACAAGTCTGTGAATCGCCAGGTTCATACACTTCATAGCACTCACCATTAGCATAATGCTTTTAAGATTAATCTGTGTTGACAAATGCCAGAAATTTGTTTCTTTTATTACATGAAAGTATCAAAATCTATTGATCTATTTACCAGTGGGTAGATATTTCAGTTTCTAGGCATTGGCTATTATGAGTAAAGCCACTGCAAAGATTTTCATACAGGGGCACCTGGGTGGCTCAGTTGGTTGAGCATCTGCCTTCAGCTCAGGTCATGATCCCAGGGTTTGGGGATTGAGTCATATGTCAGGCTCCCTCTAACTCTCTCTCTGGGTCAAATAAATAAAATATTAAGAAAAAGATTTTCATACAAGTTTTTGTGTGGACATATGTTTTCATTTACCCTTCAGTAGATACCTAGATGCGAAATTGTTGGGTCACGTGGTAAGTGCATGTTTTGTTGGGTCCCCCCAAATTGGGTACCCCAATAATGGGTCCGTGATTAAAGGAGCGAGACTGATACAAAGCGAAGGTCAAGCAAAGCTTTATTTTGCGCCAAGCATCAGGAATCAGACTGGCCGGCCAGGGCCACACCTCTTACAGAGAGGGTGACCCCTCCCTGCTTTCCAGACTAACTTTTATAGAGCAAAGGCCATGTGGTTGGGCCTGGCCACACACAGGTGGCCAATGAAATTGTAACACACAGAGAAAGCTGCACAGTCCTGCTAGGTGACCAATTGAATTACAATTTACCCTAGTAGACATTTGATTTAGCCTATCACACCTTGGTTAGGATTGGCGCCAAAAGGCTCCCAAAGGGCGGGGGCCCATACTCCTTGGTAGCTAGGAGCCAGTATGCGCCCCCACTGACTGAATACCTCCACCTGGTCTGACCCACCCTTGTACTTGGACTTTGTTACCTGGGACTGGTTTCCAGGACTTGCTTTTAAATAAGATCCCCTGGTGGGGGCAAGGTCAATTTAAGTTTTACAACAAAATGGCTGTTCAACCGGGGTGGGGCCGCTCTGGCTGAATAGGCCCTTACAGTTTAACTTTATAAGAAACTGACAAAATGTTTTCCAAAGTGTGAGAGTTCTGCTCTTTTCACATTTTCATCAGCATTTTGTATTATCTATTAGTATTTAATAAAAATTTGTATTTAATAAAAAATTATCAAATCATTTTAGGAGGTGTGTTAGTTGCTTTCTTTCTTTCTTTCTTTTTTTTAAAAGATTTTATTTATTTATTTGACAGAAATCACAAGTAGGCAGAGAAGCAGGCAGAGATAGAGGGGGGAAGCAGACTCCCTGCTGAGCAGAGAGCCCAATTCGGGGCATGATCCCAGGACCCTGAGATCATGACCTGAGCCAAAGGGCAGAGGCTTTAACCCACTGAGCCACCCAGGCGCCCCAGAGGCATGTTAGTTTCTTATTGCTGCTCTAACACACTGCCACAAATTCAGGGGCTTAGAACATGCATTTATTCTCTTGCAATTCTGGAAGCCAGAAGTCCAGAACCAATTTCACTGAGCCCAAGTCAATGTGAAAGCATGGCTGCTTCCTCCTGGGGCTTTTTCTTTGCCTTTTCCAGCTTGTGGAAGGTGTCCACTATAAGGACTTATTTTATATTTTTATATTTTAGCCAGAGGCTTCCATTGAGGTTAAACAATAACCTTGTTGTTTAACCCTTAAACTGTCCCTGCTCCCCTTCCCCCAGGGGACTTACTTAAAAACAAGTCCCAGAAACCAGCCTCAGGTAACAAAACACAGATACTAGGATGGGTCAGGCCAGGTGGAGACATCCGATCAGTGGGGGGATGCATACTGTCTCCCTAGCTACCAAGGAGTATGGGCCCCGCCCTTTGGGAGCCTTTTGGGCGCCAATCCTAACCAAGGTGAAATTGTAATTAATTGGTCACCTAGCAACACTGTGCAGTTTTCTTTGTGTGTTACAATTTCATTGGCCACCTGTGTGTGGCCAGGCCCAACCGCATGGCCTTTGCCCTTAAAAGCTAGTCCGTAAGGGAGAGCGGGGTCGCCCTCTCTGTAAGAGGCGCGGCCCTGGCGGGCCAGTTTGATTCTTGATGCTTGGCGCGAAATAAAGCTTTGCTTGACCTTCGCTTTGTATCAGTCTCACTCCTTTAATCACGGACCCATTATTGGGGCATAACACCCACGTTCCTTGGCTGACAGCCTCTTTCCTCCATCTTCAAAGGCAGCAGTGTGGCATCAATTCTTTCTTTCTGTCCCCCTTCTTCTATCATCATATAACCTCTGTTCTGACTCCCTGCTTGCCTTTTTTAAGGACCAATGTGATTATGTCAAGCACACCTAGATAAGCCAGGATAACTGCTCTATCTCAGGATCCTTAACTTGTTCACAAGGGCATCGTCCTTCCTGCCATATAAGGTAACAGTCACACATTCTTGGGGTTAAGTTGTGGATGTATTTGAGGGGATGTGGGCCCTTCCGGCACAGTAGATATGTAAGGGCCTGCTTAGCCAGAGCGAGCCATTTTGTTATTTATGCAGTAAACTTGGATTGACCCTGACCCCCAGAGGAACTTACTTAGAAACAAGTCTGGGAAACCAGAAAAATATAACTGACCAGCCCCTGATAACAGAGCCCATATACCAGGACGTGTCAGGTCAGGGGGAGGTAACAGAGCCCAGAATACAAGGATGAGCCAAGCCAGGTGGAGACATCCAATCAGAAAAGCACCTCCCTAACCACCCAAGATTGTGGGTCCTGCCTTTTGGGCGCCAATTTTGACCAGAGTGATAGGCTAGTTCAAATAACTACTATAGGGTAAATTGTAATTCAATCGGCCACCTGTGTGTGGCCAGTCTCGACCACATGGCCTTTACTCTATAAACGTCAGTCTGTGAGGCTGGGAGGGGTCGCCTCTTTGCAAGAGACAGCCCTGGCCGGTCAGTTTGATTCTGGATGCTTGGCGCGAAATAAAGCTTTGCTTGACCTTCGCTTTATATCAGTCTCGCTCCTTTGACCATGGACCCAACAGGTATGTAGTGGTGTCTCCCTATAGTCTGAATTGGCATTTTCCTAATGACTAATGCTGTTGTGCTACATTTTCTGAGATTAATATATCTTTTTAGTGAAGTATCTGAGCAAATCTTTTGCCCATTTAAAAAATTAGGATGTTTGGTGTAGTACAATGGAGTTTTTTGAAAGTTCTTTATATATTCTGGGTATAAATCCTTTATCAGATAAATGCTCTTCAAGTGGTTTTCCCCGATTGTGTCTTGTCTTTTCATGCTCCTAAGACTGTGGAAATTTTTCATTTTGATGAAATCCTATATGTTGCTTTGCAGAGACCTGGTAAGTCTCTCTCCTTGGCAACATCATGGAAGTACAGGTTCCCCCATATACTTATTAGAAAATAAAATACAGTCAAGCCAGATCTCTAATTTTGGTTCTAAGTCTCCTTGTTGATACTGATGGATAAGTAGGCAGTGACACTACTCCACGAGATGCAGACAGCAAAATGCATACTCGACAGTCTGGAAGGTAAGCTGCCAACAGCTGAAGTAGTGATTCCATCCTTGGCCAGTGTCTCTCTGAACAGAGGTCTGTGGTCCAGAGCACTGGTGTGTTAGGTCCCGGCAGAAAAGCCCTCCTTTTGGTGGATATCTTTATTCTCCCCGAAGCACTCCAAGCTGAGCTGGCTTTACCTTCTGATGTATTAGGTCCAAGACTCCAAACACTGATGGCCTGGTGGGCCAGAAGGTGCGGGCAGTGCTGGTGAGTGTTCATACCCTGGGGAACGAGGCAGCTTGGTGCAAGTCCTGCTTTCCTCCCTACCTGCGCAGCCCAGTGCCCTGGGTCCACATTCCAAGCCAGAACAGAGGCTGATGCTGGGGCTCAGGACACAGGCTAGATGTGTGGAGAAGGAAGAAATCCTCCATGGAGAGGAGGGCTGCAGGTCTCTCTCCACTATCCTGATTGGGACCTATGGCCACACAACAATCTTATCAAGAATTTAAAAATGTTACTTCAAAACTTCTCTAATCTGATGACATGACCAAAGCTTATGCAGCAGATAAAATCTTGTGTTTTGAGACAAATGTCCTTTCATTTCTGTTAAGCTGAATATATAATTATTGTTCCCCAGGTGACCAGCTTTTGTGTACTACAGTGTGATTTCACATCAACAAAACACAGTGAAAAGGCAACTTTGTGAGGATCTCATTACAAAAATAAATAATTTATATTTTAAAAAGAATGTTGCCTTAAAAGAATATAGTTTAAGACTACTCTGTGACTGGCTACAAAGTCAGATACCATGTTTCCGTTTGCCTACAGGTCTCTATTAAATAATATACATATTTAAACATTTAAAAAAATTTACATCTGAAGTCAAATGGTATCTGCGTCATCCCCTTGAAAAAGACAAGGACCTTAGCCTGTCATCATATCCTCTTTGCCATTCCCTTTTGTTATCATGTGTTTTTAATCCTATTATTAAATCTTCACAATATGCCCCAAGAATCATTTTGATCCCTGATAATTTACTAATGTACTTACTACATTCTCCTATAATCCATACAAGTTACACTTTGATTGATTGATTGATTGGTTTTTGAGAGAGAGAATGAGAGAGAGCATATGCAAGCAAGAAGGAGGGGCAGAGAGGAGAGAGAGAATCCCTAGCAGGCTCTATGCAGAGTGGAGACCAGCATGGGGCTCAGTCTCACAACCCAGAGATCATGACCTGAGGTGAAATCAAGAGGCAGAAGCTCAACTGACTTGAGCCATCCAGGTGCCCTCTTTGATTTTTTTAAAATGACTACATTTATCACTAATTCCATCAGAAATATTTTAGGGATTACAATCTATGCAAATACTTTCATCTTCCAAATGCATTTACTTCACTTACAATTGAATGCTAGATTAAAGGGTTATAGATTTACAAGTTCTAAGTCATTTTACTTTAGGAATTTGAGGATATTACTCCACACCATCTTCTAGAATCCAGTGCTGCTGCTGAGTCTGATATCAGCCTTACCCTCTTTGCTTTGCCTAGAAGAGTGGGCATGCTTGATTACCCAACATCCATTCAACCCCCCTTCCTATTTCCCAACAGAACCTTGATTTTGTGTCCATGTCCACATCACACCGAACTCCTGAGCAGCAGAGAGGAGGGAAGGAAGAAACTTGGTTTTCTGACGACCTCACTGAACTACTCATTCTGCTGGAGCTAGAGTCCCACCCAAGAATTTCTGGCTCTGCCTTTATCATTTAAGACAACTAAATTTTATTTTTATATCCTTGTAGCTCTTAGGATTTTCTGTTTATCCTTAAGAGCTCTGAAATTTCATACAGGATATATTTTTTTGTAGGTCTCTCCTGGCCCAAACCCATCATTATGTTCTGTAATCTATTTGTAATTTTTCCTCCTTTTCATTTCCTGGCTGCTGCTTCTGAATCTTTCTACTAGATGGATTTTGGATCTCAGGGCATACTGCTGCATGCCTTCCAAGATTTTCTCTCAATCCCTGGGGTTCTGATGGTATTTTCTAGAGCTGAAGGGGATCTATTCCTTTGAAAATTAAATATGTATGTGTTTTTGTCATTTTAAGGAATATTAAGAGAAAAAAGGAGGCCATCATGTACTCAGTGTCACTTTACTTATACTTTGTAAATCTCAATGTTATGTTGTTTTGCCAATAACAGTTCATAACTGTTACATCTTTATTTCGTATTGCTATTATTTTTATTGCGGTAAAAGTCACGTAACACAAAATTTACCATTTTAGTCATTTTTAAGTGTACAGTTCAGGAGTACTAAGTACATTCACATTGTTGTACAACCATCACCACCATCCATTTCCAGAAATTTTTCATCATCCAAACTCAAACTCTATACCCATTAAACAATAAATTCTCATTCCTCTCTTCCCCAAATGCCTGGTAACCACCATTTTTCCACGTTTTATAAATCGATTCTAACGACCTCATATAAGTGGAATCACGGTGTTTGTTCACTTTGAGTCTGCCTTATTTTACCTGGCTTGTCTTCAAGATCTGTCCACGTTGGAGCATGTGTCCGAACAAGTATGCGTTCTTTCCTTTATATGGCTGAATGATTTTCCATTGTACGCACACACCACATTATGTTTAGCCACTCATCTGTCCATTGACACTGGCTTGTTGCCGTCTTTCAGCTACTGTAAATATTGCTGTTATTAACATTGTACAAATACTAGTTTAAGTCATCACTTTCAATTCCTTTGGGAATATACCCAGAAGAGGAACTGCTGGATCACATAGTAATCCTATTTTTAATTTTTTGAGGAAAATACTATTTTCCACAGCTGCACCATTTTTCAGTCTTGCCAGCAATGGATTCCAATTTCTCCATGTCCTCACCAGCACTCATCTGCTGCACTGTCCTGTCCTGTTTCATTTTGACGGCAGACATACTAATGGCTGTGAACTGCTCTTTCAATGCCGTTTTTTGTTGTTGTTGTTTCAGATTTTATTTATTTATTTCACAGACAGAGATCACAAGTAGGCAGAGAGGCAGGCAGAGAAGAGGCGGGGAGCAGGCTCCCAGCTGAGCAGAGAGCCCGATGTGCGGCTCCATCCCAGGACCCCGGGATCATGACCTGAGCCGAAGGCAGAGGCTTTAACCCACTGAGCCACCCAGGCGCCCCTCAATGCATTTCCCTAATGGCTAGGGATATGGATTACCTTTTATCAATATGAAACAAATAATTTTGTCCTATTTAATTATTTTTATTTTGAAGTGATCTTTGTCTTATTGTAACTATGAAAGGAAAAACCTGAAACAATCACTCCTGTCAGGACAGTATGTTGAAAATGGAACCAGGGGGCCATTAAGGACGTGGGGCCTATGCACGTCCACTTCCTCGCAAAACGCTTACTTTTAACTGTAGCTCAACGCCAAACCAAAATATCATGCTTCCTGCAGCCCAGACAGCAATCTGTGAATTCGACAGAAATTAGACTATTTCAGCCAAACATAATTTTGCAAAAACAATTTAGCTAAGACTTCTTTGAATTCCCTTCCTAGGAATCCTAGGAATTCCTCTGCCCCCAAGGCAGAGCACTATTTGGGTTTTTTCCCAAACACCTGCGTCTCTCCAAATGCAATTCCTAAGACCCCCCCCCCGCCCGATAAGTTGTTATTTGCCTTGCATCCTTTCTGCAATTTTTTTTTAACATCACACTTTTTTGATCCCAGTTTTTTTTTTTTTTTCATATTTTTCTGGCATATTTTAGTTACTCTCTTTGTTTTCTACCTTCAAGCGCCCTTTTGTTTTAGTTCTGTTTTGTAAACTGCATTGCTGGTTATTTTAAAAAAGAAATCATTCAACCCTCAGGGAGCACCCCACAGCACCAGTCACTGAGCGGATTACAGTCAATGCTACAAGACAAACTTTACAATTCAAAGGAGTCATTTTTACTATTTGTTTGAAGATTTTATTTATTTATTTGAGAGAGAGAGAGAGGGGGAATGAGAAGGGGGAGGGGTAGCAGGAGAGGAAAACCCAATGTGGGACTCGATCCCAGGAACGTGGGATCATGATCTGAGCCGGAGGCAGACGCTTAACCTACTGAGCCACCCAGGCGCCCTCAGAAGAAGGTCCTCATTAGAGGACCCTCATAATGAGGACCCTCATTAGAGGGTCGTAAAAAGGGAAATGACGGGCTTGCGCTTTTTTTTTTTTTTAACCCAATGTGAATGTCAGTTAAAAATACATTTCTACAGGTTACGACACTCAGACATAATTGTTTAAAAACTCAAAAACGTGTAAAATAGATAAAAATAATAAGCAGCCGAGAACAAAAGACCCCAATAATGAACACAGCAGCGGCTCGCCGACTAGACGGGTTCCCTCCCGTCAAAGGAGAGAAACCACAAGCTTAGTCTGGCCGAAGGAGCCCGAGGAACCAAACCAGGCAGCACAGCCTGAGGCGACAAGCCGCCACAAAACGCCGCAATCTTCGCGGAAAGACCCCCGCAACACATCTCACCACGCCCCTCAAGGGGCGGCCGCACCCCGAGGCTGACCGGAAAAGCGAGCTGGACCCTGCCAGTCCCTCTGCTCCTGAGGCTGCAGTTCGGGACGCGAGTCTGACCAGCTCCGATCAGGGCACAGGACCTGGCGGTTTCTGCGCATTTAACCCCGAGCCGAACGAACCTTGGCATTCCAAGAATTCTTGCTGCCGCAGTTCACTCACCCACCGAGAACAACAGCAGCGAGCGGCTAATTTTGCACATTTTTAAATACGTACTCACTTTTCCCGAAAAGCGCGCTCGACGGGACAGGCGGTGAGAGAGGCGGAAAAGACGCGGCGGCAGCCTTCTGGAGGCTCCCAGCAGGACGGCTTTCTCCAGCCTTAGGGCTATTGGCCCATCTCGGGCACCATAGGCCGTCGTCCCGCGATGACCTCTGGGAAATAGAGTTCGTAAGGAAAAGCGCTGCCGTTGAGCGGAGGCACCCGTTTCCAAGTCTCGTGCGCAGGCGCAGTTGCGCCCGGCGGCCTGGCGGCGGTGGTGAAAAATGTCCCCAGGCTAGGTATCCTGCTTGTCTCCGGTGCGGTGCGCCGGTTGGCGTCCCGGTCGCGGCGGGCCCAGGTACAGGGTGCCGGTGAGAGCGGGCCCGGGGTGTGCAGCTCCTGCGGCGGGGCCAGGGCAGAGGGCCGGCCGCCGCGCGAGTCCCAGCCGAGTCCGAGTCGCGGGAGTCCGAGCTGCGGCGGCCTCCGCAGGTGAAGGCGGCCCGGGAAGGGGGCGTTGCCCCGGGAGCTTTCCGCTCCCGCGGCCCCCCTTCCCCGGAAATTGGAGCTGTCACTGCCTGAGCCGCGGGAGCCAGCCTCGGGCAACGCTCCTGGAGCAGTGGCCCCAGAACTGAGATTGCTGGGAGTTCTGCCCTGTTGGAGGGTTCGTGCACCCTGGGGCGGTTTTTGGCTGATCGCGTTCGTTGGTCTCCCCCCACCCCCCTCCAGTTTCAACTTTATTTTATGTGTATTAGTTTTTGCTATCCTTGCTGTATTGAGCTTGTGTGGCCCTGTTCTCAGAGTGAATCCTAGAGTGATTTGACTATTCTTTTTTTGTTTAATTTTGTCCTTTTGCTGAGTTACTTCCCTTTTCTCCAAAATTTAAATTCATCTCTAGCCAATGATGCTCTTTCTTTTGAGCCTTGTGGGGTTTTTTTGGAGCAGGGAGAGGATGGGTAATGTTTTCGTTTATATTGAGGAGATTTGATAACTCTTTCTTCATAAAGGAAGCACCATTTCCAAGGGGAACAGAGGACTAGTTTTTGGTTTGCTCTTCCGGAAAAGGACACCAATTTCCTACAAATGTTAGTGAAGAATGATGATAATTACCGTATTATTTTATTTTGTTGTCATACATTATATCTAATTATATAGTATGTTAGGTACAATGTAATTAAATTGTAATACATCTCAAAATATTTAAGTGCAGATGTGCAGAGTATTTATGTTACTTCTCTTTCATTGAACATCTTTGTGAGCCGGGCCTGACTGCCCTTTACTCTGTTAATGTCCATGAGATGGTTCTAATTCCTTAGTCTGATTTACCTTTATTCAGAAACCACTGGCTGAAAGGTAGCAGGCCCGGGACTGGAAGTATGTTTGCCACGCACTCTGGGTTTGGGTGGCCATGCTTACAGACCCTCCAACGCAGAGATACCTGGGCTCTCAGGTTCCCTCTGGCTTCCGTCTGCAGGGTGCTCAGTGTGTGGAGCTAATTTAGTCATGCCTCGTGAGGGTGGGAGTACAGACAGGATGGACAGACAGACTGCTCATAGTTTCTTTTTCCATTTCAGGAGCCTTCTCTAGGAGGGGCAGCAGGGAGGGAGAAATGGCCACAGGGTTGCTCCCAGCCCAAGCTCAGGTGAGTCAAGACTCCTTTCTTCATCTGCCTTCTTGGTTCAGAGGTCGTGAACACACTGAAGCCATCGTGGTTGAGCCCACGGAGGCACCCAAGGGCTTGGTGGGGTAACTCTTGAAGGAAGCTGTTTGTCTGGTGCTTGGGATCAGTCTTCTTGGGAATTCCCAGCTTAGCAGCTAAGTCCCTCTCCAGTCCTGTTCCAAAGCCACACCAGAGCTCTGTGAGGGATCTAGGTTTGTTTTTTTCCCTGTGAAGGGTGGAACCTTGAGGGAGTCCGATAATTCTCTTTGTAACGTTAGGAATTCAAAGAGAAAATGTATGGTCTTTACCCTTAAGGAACTGAGGACCAATCAACTAGAGTAGTCCCTCATAGGAGTCCAGGTGATTTTCTAGGAAGATCCAAGAAAGAAGACTTCTGAATCAGCAAGCGTGGTCAGGGATATTTCTAGTATAACTGACTCTTGAACAACACAGGGTTTCAGTGTTGCTGGGTGAACTGGGGAAGCCCAGCGGCTTCGACCCAGCCTGTCCTTGAAGGAGTTGCTGAAAGTTCTTGGTCTTGTCTCAAGAAAGAATTCAAGGACCGGCCCACAACACAGCAGATGAGTGACACAACAGGAAAGTTTATTAAAGCAAAAAATATACTCTCAAGATAGAAGAGCAGATGACCTTGAGAGAGAGAGAGGGAGCAAGCACTTTGCACGCTGGGGTTTGAGTTGCTGTCTTTTATTGACAGTTGTAACTAGGGGGTAGGATATTCATTACTTGGGGCAGGGACGTAGGGTTTCAGCTTTCTCTTCCTAACTTGGTCAGGGGTTTCCTGTCCAGCCAGCTGCTGTCTTGGGCCTGTGTGGTTTGCTCTGGCTTGTGAAGGGCTTTCAGGGCAGCCTCTGACCTTCCCCACAGCTGGTCACAACTTCCTCGTTGCTGGCCTCCATTCTGCTCGAAGCCAACATTCTGCCTACTCTAACATACAGGCTTGGGCTCTGACCCCACCTGTTCCAAGCAGTCAGAAATCCACATACAACTTTTTTTTTTAAGTTTTTTTTTTTTTTAAAGGTTTTATTTATTTCTTTGACAGACAGAGATCACAAGTAGGCAGAGAGGCAGGCAGAGAGAGAGAGAGGAGGAAGCAGGCTCCCTGCTGAGCAGAGAGCCCGATGCGGGACTCGATCCCAGGACCCTGGGATCATGACCTGAGCCGAAGGCAGAGGCTTTAACCCGCTGAGCCACCCAGGCACCCTTTTTTTAAAGTTTTTATTTAAATTCTAGTTAGCTAACATATTGTGTAATACCGGTTTCAGGAGTGGAATTCAGTGGTTCATCAGTTACATGCAGTACCCAGTGCTCATCACAACAGGTGCTCCCCTTAATGCCCCCCCATCTAGCCCCACCCACCTCCCTCCAGCAACCCTGTTTGTTCTCTACAGTCAAGAGTCTCTCATGGTTTGCCTCCCCTCTTTTTCTTTTTTTTCTTTATTCCCTTATGTTCATCTGTTTTGTTTCTTAAATTCCACATGTGAGTGACATCATATGGTATTTGTCTTTCCCTGACTGACTTATTTGCTTCGCATAATACACTCTAGCTCCAGCCACATGGTGGCAAATGAGAACTCCACATATAACTTTTGACTCCTCCAAAAACTTCACTACTAACCACAGTTAGTGTTGGCTGGAAGCCTTACCAATTCTGCCAATTAACACATATTTTGTATGGTATATGTATTCTATACTGTGTGTCTTATAATAAAGCATGCTAGAGAAAGAAAATGTTATTAGGAAAATTAAAGGGAAGAGAAAAACATATTAACAGTACTGTATTTATTGAAAAAGAGTCTATATATATTTGGACTTGCTCAGTGCAAACTCCTGTTGTTTGAGGGTTGGACTATATTGGGAAATTTGGGGCTTATGAGCAGGACCAGGTTAAAAGGGCTGGTGAAAGGAAAAGGAATCCCAGCTAGGTAGGACTAGTGGTCTTGGGGGACAGATTGAGGGAAATGAAGCATCTGGTCCACAGTGTTTTCTTCCCTTCTTGGCCCTTTTGTGGCACTTAACAGAAATATAATTAAGAACACAATCTCCTCCCAAACCAGAAAACCTCTCCACAGAAGCAGAAGAGAAAGAAAACACTTTTATCATTGAATAAGTGCTCGGCCCGAATGTCACGTGCATCACAGGCCATCCCCCGAAGAGATTGTCAAGACAGAAGGCTCACTTGTATGTTGAGTGGCTACAGCCCAGTTTGGACATTCGTCAGGTGACCCGTTAGGCCCGCCCACTCCCAGGAGACTGAGAGGTTGGCACATTCAAAGATGACTTCCAGGCCTCCACAGAAGTGGTCCAGAGTTATGAGCCTGGGAAGTGACTTCCTGAGCCTTTGAAAAGACTTAGAGTAGCCCCTGCCCCCCCACCCCCCGCATCCATCAGGGAATTGATGGTTTCAGTTACCAGATGATCCTGCTTCCAGCCTCTCCTTAGAAGGTCAGAAGTAGCCAGACACTGTACCACAAGCCTGTGTCATTCTCCTCACTTCCCCTCATGTAGGCACTTTACCCTCCTGGGCACTCCTCACACTCCTGGGCACTTTATCCTCTCACACTCCTGGGTGAGCCACCAAGAGAAACTACACCAGGTGAGCTGTTGCGCCAGGGAAACTTTATTTGCAGCATGTAAGATCATGCCAAATAACTTCTGAAGCCGTGACTCCCCAAGCCAGGGTGGATGGGTTCCTGTTATTTCGGGTTAAGCTGAATATTTAAAAAGGGGATCCTTGTCACTGTATGTGGAGGTGGGCATAAGGTTGCACATGCGCCTTAAGGAAACACGTCCGAACACACGTTGTATGTTATGTAAACAAGGCTTGTGTCCTCCTTGGGCGGAGATTGTAGTATCCTAAGGAGGTGGAGGTAATTGTCAGTCATTCTAGAGGTCACTCCACGGTCCCATCTGTGCAAGGTGAGTCAGGACTCTAGCTCAAACTGGTATGAGTGGTGTGGGCTGGCTGGAGAGCTTGTCAGTGAGACTCTTGTCCAAGTCGCTACTGCTGGAGGGGCGGTTTCACTTTCCATCTTGAGAGAGAACTTGGAAAGAAAAGCTCAAGGAAGAATGTGGGATACAGGTCCGTGAGCACAAGCAGGTGGGCAGTCAAGATCAGGTCTTGGGGTCTAGCTGTAACGATATCACAAGCAGAAGGGTAAGTACAGCACAGTAAGGTGTTTTGAGAGGGAGAGACCACAGTCACATAATTTTTGCTACAGCATATTGTCGTAATTGTTCTGTTAGGACTTGTTAATCTCTTACTCTGCCTGATTTATAAATTAAACTTTATCATAGGATTGTATTTATAGGAAAAAAACAGTATATGTAGGGTACAGTACTCTCCAAGTTTTAGACTTGGAGAGGGGGGTTCTTAGAACATAGTCCCTCCTGCAGAAGTGGGGGCAACTGTATGTTCATTTGGAAAGGACAGAGACTTGCCTAGAGATGCTCGTAGCCCTGCATGGCAACAGGGTGACTGCTCAGCCGCCCCTTTGGGGGTCTGGTCCCGGGTGAGCAGGAACGGGTTTGCC